ACAACAAGGGTGAAGACAATACTCCAAATGTAAATAGTATAAATCATTATATTTCAACATCTTCATATATATATATATATATATATATAGGGGATACTCTTATTTGAGTAGAATGATGTATGGGTTTTTGTATGTGGGTGTTAAATATGCGTGAAATTATGTTAACTATGAGGTATAAGAATAAATGTTTGAATATCTGTATTTGCCGACGTTAATGTAAACATTTACACCGTTAACACGGCTATAAAGCTGGACGTTTCTGCGAAAATTGACTTCAGTTTTATGTGTTTGATGTCCCTCGGTGAATTCTATGATTTATGTGAATAATGACGGCTAATAACGAGCAAAAACAGTCGTAGCTAAATTTAACAGAAACGCTGCATTTATTGCAAATGAAAAAGAAAAATATGGGCGGAATAATAACCTGAAAACATAAATCTTTTTCCTCATTTTTTTTTTTGCTATTGTTAAAAAAAAAACAAAAAAAAACATTTATTCCGTTTCTTTCCTTTTAATTTAATTCGGTTTTTATAAGGAAAATAACCACATTCTTTTTCGTGAATGAATCGTGTTTTCTTTCAGCCATTCCTCGTTCCGATTCTCTTTAAATTTTATAGGTTTTTGCCTTTTATTCACTGAATGACTAAACCCAGAGCTTGTGATTACAATCGCATTTTATATGAACTTTCATGCTTACGAAAAACAAATAGCACACACACAGACTCTCACAGGTCCAGGCACCACACACACACACACACACACACACACTCACCTATATATATATATATATATATATATATATATATATGTTTGTGTGTGTTTTTGTACAATATAAAATAGACGAATTTTCCTCGAGGATTTGGTCGAGGTTGTCATCATTAGAGGTCGGAACAGTCGTTTCCGTGTGCTGTGGAGTATTTTCACAGTGGAGGCTTGTATTTCTAATAAATCGTCCGAAATTAGGTCCGACGTACAAAACGTTAGGAACTTGGAAAATAAGAGTCAAGGGCGCAGCAATCTAATTGTGATGGTTGGTACTTCAAATGTCCGAATCTCGACTGACGCGCTCAACACCATTCTGCCAGACTTGCCACTGATACTCCTACTTATTATCTATGGGAGAGTCCATTACAATAGAATAGGTACTATGGCATAACACCTTGCCTCCGTGGTACTGATGCACAAAGTTTTGTTACCAATTTATAGCGATACCAACATATTTCTGTTGTTATACTATTGACAGTCATCTAGAAAATTGTTATGTGATTTTACCCGATGTAATTTTTTTGTTGTTGTCTTATTACCAACATTCTAAGCAGCATCCATTTCAACCGAAGGGGAACGGGGCAGTAAATGAGTAGATGAGGGTTTTTTTGCTGACCAAACGACAACAAAACGGTCATTGATTATTTCCGTTTGTTGGTCAATATTAACAGACAGATTTGGAGTTGGGGATTCAGTTCTATTTGCCTTTGGCGGGAGACGGAATTAGCCATGCCATGTTTCCGAAGAAACCTACTAGTATTGCTAACTACACATTGGGATGTAAAATTAGGCAAGGAATTAGTGAGAAGAGCTTTTCCATGTGACCAACATAGTAGAAGTATTTCAGGTACCTACCCACCCATGCGAGCAGGCGAAGCACTGAATAAAACATCTAGTTATAATAGGGATAAAGCTATTTCATTTTCTTTTAAATTGTGATCGTGCAGGAGGCCCTTTCCCAGCATTCGGTGTGTATCGACGAGATCGAGAACCTCGATATGCTACGCGGGGATATAATGGACAGGTCGGTGGAAAACTTGGGCGATGGGGCGGGTAGTAAGTTTAGAAACTGGCGCCGTGACCAGGATTTCAACCCAAGGAAAATGCAGAAATGACATTCACAGAAATGCAGAACAAACTCAGTCATGCATAGCTAAAAAAAAAAGAAAAAAAAAAACACAAAGTAAAATTCTTGCCAGAGGAAGTAATGATCTGGAATGCAAGCACGCGCAAAAGAAGAAAATAAAAAAAAGAAGGAAAAAAGAAGTATAAAAAAATGTAGTTTTCAACTGTGTTGCGATGAGTTGAAAAAGAATTTTTTTTATGTTTTTCAATTCTGGAATATTTCCCCCCTTTTATTTATTGTATTTTGTTTTGCATATATTCTTCCTTACTTGAATGTTACTTTTCCACATTTATCTAAACGGAAATCCATATCAATATCATCACTGAAACATTATATAGTATTAGGAAATTCTTTCAACTCATTGTTGTCTTTGGCAAAAGTTCGAGTACATCCTCGTAGAATAGGTATTTATTCGTACGATTGTACAAAATGTGGCACAAGGCCAAAAAGAGAAGAGGGGGAAAAGACGGTCTTCTTCTGTCTTAATTCTAAACTTAGCTAGTCACAAACACAGACCCAAGCATACAAAGAATAATCCTACCACCAAAACAACACATTCCCTCCTACCTTTCTTACTACATCCACCATAATACCTCAATGTCTCTATAAAATCCTAACTCGTCGACATATGTATATTTCAAAGTCTGTGGTGGGAGGGGGTCCCACCACAGCAATTTAAAAAACCGCAATGATTATTTACAATAAGAATTAATACTATTTACAGGAAAACAAATCAAAATAAGGTTAGTAATAAAATCCCCAAATGTGGCAGAAACATCAGTTAACTGGACGAAATTATTGCATTATTTTATATTATAATCGTATAAAAAACAATCATCCATCCAAAAACACTCACACAAACACGCACTCATTCAGTCACAACAACAAATACGAAAACACACAGGTGAAACGAAAGACATCCCCCAACTACCAGAGATCTGACATCACCGACCACATAACGAAGGAGTGAATGGGGAATTAAACTAAAGAAATATAGGGATAGAAATAAAAGGGGCCAATGACCATACATACCCTAGATAAGTTAACCAGAAACAGAAAACTAAAGATTCAAACTAAACCTAAACTAGCCTAATATCGGGACGAGTTGCCTCTGTTCAACCCAGGAAGGACAAACATCCTTGTAGAATAAATGATTAAATACATTCTTGTTTATTTTATATACAGAGCTATTACTCTTTAGTTCATGCGAAAGGGGGATGAAGGAGAGACTAAACAGAAGTGATGACAGTCTCTTTGAAATATTCCTCATCCGATATTACAGGAAATGGACATGGCAATGTCTCTGCTGTGAACCAATGCTATATGTAAGGAATTTTACTATTTCCAAAGCCTTAAGATTCCAAGACAGTGGCACACTATCAAACGCTTTACGGTTTTCTACTCAAGCTGTGCTGGTATTTCTACCCATTTTCTCGCAATTTTCGAAAATCATTTTATTTATAAATAATTGATCTTTGCACCCATAGGAGCCTTTTCGACATCGTTTCTGTTTCACGACATTTCCTGGTGTTGTAGAGTAGTTTTCACAGTGGAGGCTTGTATTTCACTAAGTCTGTCCTAAAAGAGTCCGACGTAAAAAACGTTAGGAACTTGCAATAAGAGTTAATGACGCAGCAATCTAGGATACTTCAATATCCGACATCGACTTACTCGCTCAACACCACTGAGTAGTTAGTATTTATCGATCCACACACGAGGATTGAATGTGGCATGAGGCCGGGTTTAATGTGGGTTTCTCCGAGCCCGTAGGCTCGGCCAAAAATATACCCTTTGAACCCGCCTAGACGGGTTCAGGCCCTGTCTACCTCCCCGGACGAAACCTTGCCCTTCGGCAAAGCCTCGTCCGCGTTCCTCTCTGCTAACGCAGAGAGTTCGACAGGAGGCGTTCGCAGTCAAAGACCGCGAGACGCCACTGAGTATTTATCGTTTCACCACGAGGAACGAATATGGCACAAGGCCGGTTTTAATGTGGGTATCCCCGAGCCCGTAGGCTCGGCCAAAAAAATAGCCTTTGAAGCCGATTTGACGGGTTCAGGCCCTGTCTACCTCCCCGGACGAAACCTTGCCCTTCGGCAAAGCCTCGTCCGGGTTCCTCTCTGCTAACGAAGAGAGTTCGACAGTAGGCGTGCGCAGTCAAAGACCGCGAGATCCCACTTAGCCCAACTGGCCACTGCTACTACTACTTATAATCTATGGGAGAGTCTATTACAATAGAATAGGTATTATGGTATAACACCAGGTGATTTCCATTTTGGGTATTTTGTTATATATTGTTTAACATTATACTGGGTTGTATTTTGTTCATTCTTGCATATGTTTATCATTCATTCTGTTTTGTTCTCATTTGATACACTGTACATTGAGATTTTATTTCTTTAGGCTGTTTCAATATTCTCCTAAATGTTTTGCACCTCTTCAATAGAGGGCGGGTGTTTTTCTTACTTCTACAATAGAGGGAGTCACGGAGGAGTAATGGATTGCGGCTCAGATTGAAGAAGTGGAGAGCCGAGTTCGAATTCCAATCGAATCAATTAAATTCACTTATGTGCCAATAATACCTCTAGGAAAGGTATGAATCCTCTTCTTCTCCCCCAGCTATGACTAAATAGCAGGACAGACCTGGGATGGCAACTCGACTACCGCAGAAAGAAATGGCAACCTACTGCGGAAAGAAATCTGCTTCATCAGTCATGTATCGAAAAATACATACTCGCCCAAGCGTGTATATGTACTGTACTGATGCGGCATTCACCCTGGGCGGATTGAGCCGGCTTCTTCCTGTTATGAGAAGAAGATTCTTGGGATAAATTACAGAAGTAGGGTACCCAGGCCTACTCGGATAACGTTCTTGCTTGCCGCGGGGTTCCCACAGACGCAGAGACAGGAACGACCAGAAGCCGCCGGTTACCGATGCAGACGCTCCTTGGATTTTCACCAGAGCCCTTGTTAGCCGGCGTGTGTGTCAGACGTGTCCGCCTTGGGTGGCCCTACCAGGAACGAAGTTCCGGGCGGCATAGCTCTGACACTACCGTTTACACTCCCCACCGAGTGTGAGGTAAGGGTTGGACTTTGGGGGCTCACAGTACCAGCAGTCCCCCATCTAAGTACTGACCTGGCTCTACGCTGCTTAACTTCGGTGATCGTACGAGAACCGGTGTTTCAGCGTGATTTGACCGTAAGCGTGTATCACACATAATTGATAACAGTTTTTCCAATTTCCCTGTAAAATTTCTTGAGGTCTGTTTGAAATATATTATTTGGTCGAGAAAACATCCAATGCGTGCTTTTTATATCTTCATGTTGTTTGTGCATTTAATTGCATTTTCTGTTTAATTATTATTATTTTTACTATTACTATTAAAATTTTATTAATTATTATTAGTAGCCTCTATGACCCTTCTAGGATAAACTTTTGAACATTTATATATGAATATTTACAGACATATTTGATGTAAATTCACGCAAATATTCCTTTATTATCATAATATTTATTATTTTAATAAGTATTTTTGTCATCATTATTCTGGTATATGGTTTTAATTTTTTTTTTCTTTTTAAAATTTTTAGCGTATATTCGATTACAACTATTTGCATGTCTAGTATCATTTAATGTCAGTCATATTTAGTGTTCGCTTACTATATTTTTAAAATAGGTATTTAATGTTAGTCAGATTTAATATCATTTAATGTTAATAACTAATAACATTTAATGACAAATAACATTTAATAATTATTTTTGTTAACTTTATTCTGGTATATGGTTTCAATGTTGATACTTTTCAAAATATTAGCGTATATTCGATTGCAAAATTTACATGACTAATGACATTTCGGACGACAAAAAAATGAAAAACGGATATTCAGGATTAATCAATAGTGAAATTTTTTGAACAACCGAAAATTTGTCGATAATTTTTTATTATTTATACACACACACACACACACACACACACACACACACACACACACATTATATATATATATATATATATATATATATATATATATATATATATATATATATATTCAAGTTTTGGAATGTTGTATACGAAATAGATTACAATAACTAACAAATAATATTCTTTAAAAGAATGCTCAATACAGAGTAAAGTAAAATATAATTATTTATTCGAAAATTCTAACATAAATATGTTATAAAATTACTAGAATAAAACAGCCATTTTGTTTCAACGCTTTGAATTATTCTTTTCAAGTGATGATGTTAAATATAGAATTTCTATATTCAATGAATCACTTGATAAAACAAGAAGTGTTGAAACAAAATGGTTGTTTTTGTAGTGAATTTATAATATATTTTTGTTATAATTTTCGATTAAATAATTATACATACATATATATATATATATATATATATATATATATATATATATATATATATATATATATTGAAATTGACCGGCGACCAAAGAATGGCTAACAGAAAATTCTGAGAGTTATACAAAGTTCATGTTACCAATATGTATCACGTAGTTTAAACTCTCATGGAAATCCTCGTATCGGTGACTAAAAGCCAGGCATGAAAATGAATTCTTTGAACGGCACCGTTTGTGAAGCTTATGGCTAGCATGAACGAATACCATTTCATCCCGGTCATCAGAGAAAAGACACCCTGTTTTTCATATATATATATATATATATATATATATATATATATATATATATATATATATATATACTTGTTTTGAAAATATAATTTTCCATTTGAATAATTTTATTTTTATTAAATTACTTGTCCTCATTTACTTGCCGATGTATGTATGTATGTATATACAGTGACGAAGGCATTAAACTCTTGCAAGAATATGCAATCTCTTTAACAATTGTGCATCTAGGAAATGGGAAGGCATCGATCTATCAATTCATCACTTTACATGTGATTAATGTGGCAGAGTCTGTCTTTCCAATGCAGATCTCGTCAGTTACAAGAAGATTGATAGTGGTATACCTTGGACAAATTATGATCAATACTTCTTTGGGAATACATGTTAAGAAAAAATATTGCATGTCACTGGCTGTGTTCAATGGCCAATATCGGTCTCACCTTGAACTAAAATTATATAATAACCTAATCAGCTGTGACCATAACGTTAATTAGTCGATAATTATCATAAATATATATATATATATATATATATATATATATATATATATATATATATATATATATATATAAGCACTTACTAAAAGAAGAAAACACGATCCCCCAAATGTTTCATAAAACACATGGAGCATATATTACATTGAATACATTCGACTTCAATGTAGCACACTACCTGCAAGTAAGAGGCTGTGTTATGGGCACCATTGCAGCTCCATCATATATGCTACAATATTCATGGGAAAGTCTGAAGAGACCCATATCTATCCCCTTATCGGTAGCGTATTCTATGAAGATATATCGATGATATTTTCTTTGTATACACGGGCAGTTACGACAAAATTATCCAATTCCTCATGACCGTAAACACAGTTTAACTAAAAAAAATACACAAGGTCGATAACATTTTTGGCAAATGAATTTACATAGAGGAAAACAGGAAACTACAAACAACACTTCACAGTAAAATCACCGACACCTAAAACTATCGACACTTTAATTCTTCCCACCCTAAACAACTCAAATAGACCTTCACTATTCACAAGCACTTAGACTCAGAAGGATATGTTCCAACAATGAAGAATTAAATAAACACATTGAAAATCTGGAGCATCAATTCACAACACGTGGCTATAAACAACACCTAATCAGGGAACAAATAAATAAAGAAATGTCCATACCTAGAGAAGACCTCCTAATATACAAGTTTAAAAATAAACCCTAGTCGGGGAATCTAAATGAAATAATAATAAAATGGAAGGAATATTAATATACATCCCAGTGTGTCTGAAGATTTGAATATTTAATATTTTTTATTGTTCAACTTGGTGACAAGCGTTTCTCTAACTATCATTCCCACGCTAGCTCAGCCAATCAAAATCGACTTCCTTATGATGTCCCACATTTGACACCGAAGGTCAAACTTCGGAAATCGAAGCTGAGATAAACTTCCTGTAAAAATTATAATCTGCGAAACTATTATTCAACAAAATCCGGGACTGATTATGATGTTGAAGTTTTCGATTACAAGACGATATTGTGACTCTTTTAAACTGTCACTGGTAGTAGTTTAAAGGAATGTGACATAGGATTAAGAAGGTTTCTTGTAGGTACTCCACTATTTCGGTATATATTTCCGATGACTAAAGTTAAAATAACTTTTTAAAAATGAGATTACTTTCTTGAAGATTTCATTTTAGCTTCCATTTAAAATTAACTGATCAAATTTGCTATTTCTATGAAGTAAAATATTCTGGTATATTTCAGGTAGAAATCATATAGATTGGAATGTCAAATTTAATTTCGATTTCTTAAAATATTCGTAAAAGTGGCCATTTTCTTAATTTTCAGAAATCTGTAAAAAAAAAATTATCGTATTTCAAAATCTTTCAAAAACAAATATATATTTTTGACACGTTATTTGAGTAAAATTAGAAAATTTAAAGTTAAATTAATCTGATTTGAAATAAATATTACTTATAGCATAAAAATTAATATACAAAAATTTATTTAATGTTTGGTCCTGTTTATCATAGCTTATCTGAGGCGATAATGGAGGCCGATGAGTGACGTAGAGATGACAGCAATTATGGCTGGCTAGAATTGATATTTATGTACCTAGTAATTTTTACAATATATTTCCCGCAATTAGCTAATAATTTATTGACTTTTATTTACCTTTAAAATATTCATTATGCAAAAATAAAAAAAAATTAAAATGCTATAAATTTTCTTAATTAATTTCTCTGTAAAGAGACAAAATTCTTAGATCCTGTGACCGTTTCATAATAAGGTCACGTTTGGACATTCATACATGAAAATATGGAACAACTCAAGTAAAAAATATGAAATATATATATTTTTTAATATAATAACGTAACTACGTTTATTAATCTTTTCAATTTTGCATTCGTAAATTTCGGTTCCACTTAAGTGTGATATCACATCCAGGAAATACTCCAATACAGAATTTTAAACGATTTTTAACTATTATAAATTATTATAATTCAATTTTAAAAGAAAATGAAAAATCTCTTGTAAAAATTCATTATGCTTCGGGGAAAAAATTCTTCAGAAAATAATATCCTTAATATACCTAATTTACAAAAGCAATTAAAATATTTTCCCATTCAATATGTCATAGTTTTGATGTATTAATTATTTTTCAATTCACAACAGATTTCCAGTTGGAATAATGCAAGTCTGAAAAAAAGATTAGGCGCTTTGAATTTTCCAAGGAGTCATACGTTTAACGAATAAAAGAAATCAGAAAATAGAAAAATTGATTTGCGAAATTTCAGGAAATTAAATAAGTGGGGAATAACATATGAAAAAAAAATTAGTATTTTTTACCAAAATTTTCTGAAGAAAAAAAATTCAAAAATAATTTCATGCACTTGTGAATAAGTTCTGAAAATTTAATTAAAATTAAATTATTTGATTTTTACAAGAATTTCAAAATTAATGTTTTCAACGAAAAAAAAAATTACCGTAAAGAGTCGATGACGTAAACAAAAGATTTTATCTAAAATTCGAACTTTTGAGAAAGGATTAAAAATCTCAAAAAATAATTAAAAAATACTTTCATATTCAAACTTAATAATAACATAAACATTTTTACCTATAATACTTTCTTTTTATTTACTTTGTAGCCTTTTTCATTACGCTATGCTGATTTCCCGAGAAAAAGTGGAGGTAGCTAGTTTCATGTGAAAACTCCGAATAGTATTGAAGCATTGGAAGGGCTGCAATGTAAGTCATTGAGAAGAAGAGGTTGCGATATGAAACCGGGAAAATAATTTAGAAGCGTGATTTTCTTGGACAAAGAAAATTATTTAAACCAAATTGGTATGTAAAACAGCCGATTGTCGCATACAGTATTTGGGTCATGCTGCAAATGTAAACAACTTGGCGTGTGTTTTGAAAATAGACAAAAAAAAATTACCGACGCCAGGAATTGGTACATCAACAACCAGCAGAAACTGCTGATTTGCAAAAAAAAAAAAAAAATTATGGTTTTAAAATTATTGTAAGGAAAAGAAAGGAATTCTTAAATCAGAT